TACTGATATTGTAAATACACTTTTTGATGTTACTGCTCATGAAAAGTAAAGGCCTAGCATTCCATGAAGGAATCATGGAACAACCACTGCTTTTAGAACAAGATCTTCTTATATTGCGTAATGACAGATATGCAGTCATTTTGCCACCCCCCTACAAAAAAGATGCAATCTCATGGAATATTACGATATGGCACTCAGAGCATGTATTGTCAGTAACACAACTTCTACCACATCAAATCTAAGCTAAATATTTGTATAACTGACTGAGTTTCAGCCATTTATGTGTTGGCACGTTACTTAGTTGTGGAAGCCATCTTGATTAAGTTAATCAGTTGTAAATGTACAATTCAATAATCTTTCTGTAAGCTTTGTGAAAATTTATCTTGTGGTCTATGAGTGGGAGTGGTGGTGCAGAGGTGAGAGAAGGTGGGCCTGTTATCGGAAGGTCGCCGGTTCGACTCCCCAGACAGACAACATCAAAATGTGAGTGGAAAAGGTGAAACACCCACATCCATCCTCATTTGCCCCACTCTGGGCCCTTGAGCAAGGCCATTAACCCCCACCCTCTGCTCCGAAACAGGTCTCTCTTGAAACTGAGTCCTCGTGATTCAATGAGACTACTTATATAAACTAAGGTTAATAAAAAAAATAAAATAAAAAAAATGAGACATTTTCTAACAGAGTGGGCTCCAACAGATAATGCAAACGTTTTATTCAAAGCTCACACACAATGAGTAGTACTTGGAGTATGCTGAGAACTTGTCCAGGGGTTTATGAGATGTTTGGATAGATGCACAAATACATGACAGCCATAGACATGGACAAAAACATTATCTCCCATTTTAACCTTTTGGCAAGACGCAATAATTAGCGACCAGTTTTGCTAAGTTTAGACTTCCATAGCGACTATGTAAACTTGATTTCAGTTTTCTCTCTTACCGCTCACCATCCCCCTACTTTTACTAATAAAGCCTCATTCCCTGCTGATGGAAAATTGTCGGTTTACCTCGAGCTACAGGGGGCCGGGCAATCAGTCCTTAGAAAAGCAGTGCCAGGTTAACCTGCTGTGATAGTGGACTCTCAGGAGAGTGCCCCACCTCTGCACGACATGCCGGGTCTCTGTTCACCAATAAGAAGCATGCCCACGGCACAATAGAGCTGTTACCTCCCTCTTCACTTCCAAACAACAATCTTCTGGTCAGGGCTTTGCATGCATGAAATTGTTTATTTTTCACATCTTGTCTGAATGAATTTTTGGTTTTCATTGTGATAAAAATGCTTAATTTTTCTTTTCTTCTTTTTTCCCCCTCTTACTAATTTAACGTGAACTTCTGATTGTTTTGTTTGCCTTACTTTCTTCTAGCTTATTAAGGTATGTTTACATGAACATAAGTAACCGGATCGAATGGCCGGTCGGAATAAAAGTGTGTCATGTAAACACCCCGTTCGGGTTATTTTTTGTGTATTCAACGCGATCCGATATAATTTGTTATCAGAACGAAACGGGTGGTTTACGCCGATCCATAACCCGATCGGTGTGCATGTAAATGCTTGATCTGTTCGTTTTTATCTGATCGTGAAAAACTGACCTGACTGCGCATGTGTGACTTTGCCATTTCCGCCTGGCTAATGCTAATAATATTAGCATGTCAGGGGAGCAAAACTGGTCGGTGAGCGACACAACATTTCTACTAGAAACTTTGAAAGAGCTCAAAAGGATCTGTATTACCTTTAGCTCAGTCAGGGAGTGCAGTAACGTCTCCACCATCATTAAAACCTCTCGCGCGTCCATTTTGGGTGCTCAGGTTTGTTTATGTTCACCCCAGAAGTAGAACTTCTTCTTCTGTGTTTTTTTTAAGGAGAGTTTACCACTCTGCGCATGTCAGTACTGCTGTTCAGACCAAAGCTTGCTGCATGTAAACGCTCGACATGA